GGAAGGTAAATGTGGTTGAGTTGAAGGTGGACAGCAAGTCTGCTCTAGCTCTGGCCAAGAATCCGTCTTCCACAAAAGAAGCAAGCACATCCGCATTAAGTATCACTTCATCAGGGATTGCTTGAAGGATGGGAGCATCAAGGCCAGCCACATTGCCACTACTAATCAATTGGCTGACATTCTCACCAAGTCGTTGGGGAAGTCCAAATTCCAAGAGATGAGGGAGAGGATTGGGCTACAATAGATCACCTCCGGTGCTCGGCACAAGGCTTAGGAGGAGAATTGATAGATAAGCCAGTGCTAAAGCACTTGCATCTTATTTTTCCTATATTTTTACTTTCCTTGGCTTCCAAGCTTAGTGTTAGGAATATGCTCAGCATCCACTTTAGTGGTTAGATTTTGCTGTAGCAAGTGGGAATCCCCGCCTATAAAAGGCAAGGGAGTGTCATGATAAAAACTAAGCCATTGCATTTCCATTCAATCCAAGCGGTCAAGAACCAAGCTGTCCTCTGATAGTTTTCAGATTTGAATCTAAGATCCAATCGGCCCAACAATGGACTGCAGACTATTCTAATATGTTATTGACATACCATCAAGTCAAATAGGCACCTGACCTTTGGAATAAATTACTTCAAGATTCTCATTGACTTGACGTTATTTATGCAACGCATGAACCCAGAGATAAGTTAATTAACGGCGTGTTTAGTTACACCTCAATTTCTAAAAAGTTGCTACAGTACCTGTCACATCGAATGTTTGCGGCCCGTGCATAAAGCATTAAATGTAAACGAAAAGATAAATTAATTGCACAGTTTGGTGGGAAATTACGAGACGAACGTTTTGAGCCTAATTAGTCCATGTTTGAACACTATTTACCAAATAAAAACGAATGTGCTACAGTAGCCCCAAAATTCAAATTTCTGCAACTAAACAAGGGCTAAGAAGATGTGCAAGCATGGGGTGAATAAGCTGACACAGCCCACATGACGACAACTGCCCATATATATAAACCACACAAATCCAAACCCAAGCCGCTCAAATATTATTAGAATCCAAAAGTAATGCTGCCTCACTATCAGTTCTCGGAATCAATCAATCAACCATATTCACATGTCAAGATGAAGATGGGTGGTTATGATCTGAAGCTCAAGGTCCTCTCCACATCATCCGTCCATGTGTCATGATGGTCATGACCTGGCATGATTGATTGGTTTTTTCTGCCAAACAATCAGTAGGAAAATTCTCAAGATCTTTCTTCACTGTTCTATTTATGTTATTCAGGACCAGTGCAATGGCTAAAAATTAAATTTGGTTTGATCTGTGATGTATGTAACAGCTGTATCTAGTTTGGCAAAGTAGGCAGAATCAAAAGGGGAGTTTCTGTTGAAGGTTGAAGTAGTACTATTTACCTCTTTATTTCTCTTTTGATGAGGCCTTGCCATAAATTCTGAACCTTTAGGCCTCGCTGACATGTAGGTGATCGATTTGGCATGAAGTAAAAGATACCGGATTTTTCTTAGTGCACAAGTAAGCATTCACCATAGGCTACAAGCTAGAGTGGTCAGACACTCAGGCCATCACTCAAACTCCATCAGCAGGCTTGATGTCATTATGTAATGTAATTCAGCCTGATCAGTTGGTGCCATTTCCATGTCTGAAACCGATGGTTCCATCTCGTGTACTCCTCCATTTGTGACGACACAGTCTTTGTGCTTTTGATCATTGATGTTCAGTGCGCCAACTCCACCTAGTAGTGTGTGCCTCGCTTCGACTAGACCATGTTTCTGAAAGGTTACATGGTCTATAAAGAGAGGTTGTCAGTTTGCTCTGTACATACATACTAGAGCCGATCAGGTTTACGAATTTTTCTAAAATGAAAAGAAGGACCTAGGTAGTTTAATTCAGCTGATCTAGTTGTGTTTAATTTTTTAGCATGGGAAATTGCAAAAAGCTGATCTGCATACTAGTGCTTGTGGGGAGCACATAGCTTTCGGGGGAGCACATTAACAGTGCATACCTCGTTTGTGAAATAAAGGTGGTGGATGGAGAAATGCCACAGGATCCCACTTTGCAAAAGTTGATAAGTGCTCCCATTGTTCCACAGTTCCTACCAAGATACTAAGCTCTCCATCTTTTTTGGCCTGTCTTCTAGATCTTTTCTCCTTCTCATGGCCGGTATTGCATTGATAGCCATGATAACTTCTATTTTCTGAGAGTAGGTGTCTGTTTTCTTTTGTCTGAAAGTTGTTAAGGATCTCTTCTCCTTTAGTTCTGGAGATCTGTGGAAGGGTGGCCAGACACTACAGTCAATGTATCCAAATGAACTATGCATTAAGACAAAAAAAATCTTATCCTGTAAATGTGGCGCCGTTTTTATATATATAAATGGTCAGGCTTGCGAGCTTTTGAAAAAAAAAGTGTAGAACATCAAAATGGTGCTGCAGAAAGTCGTAGGTTGTATTTGTGTCCGACTTCAATTTTTTTCTTATTCCGCATATAATTATCTTTTTCTTTTTTCTGAACAAATGGTACCCTATCATAACTTTTTAAAGTTAAGACACCATTGCTCTATTGCGTACTGCTATAGAACCAAAGATATACTTTGCAACTATATGTCTATTTCATTTTGATTCAGCAAAACAATGAAATTGACATGGACTTGCTTTTGTGGATTATGCATTATTTGCACGTGCCATGATTTTTGTTGATTTTCAAAAGGTGTAAAGAAGATGACATTCATACGGTGCTACATGAAGTGCCTCAAACTCAAGGTAAAATTCAACCAAGCCTTTTATGTCAAGAAACACAATACTAGCGCAAACACACTCATGGAAAGATTCTCAGATTGATAAAGTTACCACATGTGCACGCTATCGATGGACATATCACTAAAATATATAATAGCACCATTAATTACTAAATAAAATAAATCTAGGAGTGCGACCATCTTGCCAAGTCGAGAACGTGGGCAAGCCTAAGACATGCTCAAATTTGACCCCAACTTTTCACTTCACTTTTGGTGCCGCAGAGTCGATGAATAATATTTTCCTTTCTTTCTGCACAAACAAGCAGATGAGAGTCATTGATCATTCCTTGCTTGATAAGAAATAATTTGTAACTTATAATGAACAATATGGGCAATACGCATGCTCTATGGATTACAATTTAACATTTAGGGATTTTGTTTGGATCACAACTTGCATGGTTGAGACCTAGGACTAAAATGATCAAGCTAAAAACAAATCAATACTACCATCATTCTAGACATATCTAGTCATAGTCACAGAAAGATAAGGTTCTTATTAGTTGCAGAATTAAAACCTATGACTAAGAGCACACAAGCATAAAAAAGAAACCTACTTGTCAAATAAGGTTCTTCCACCCAAACAAAGATCAAAGTACGTACAAGCTAGAACAAGAATGGTTATACAAGAATTGAAAAAAAAAATGGGCAAGCAATAACTAGATTTCCCTGTGGTATCAAGTAATTGAAAAGACGGATGATCCGTCGGGATGGTTCCAATCATCCGATGCACAATCCGGTGCATATTTTTAGCATGTTTAAGTCTGATCTCATCCCATTAAACTTTTTTTGAGATACTAGACTTAAAACATATCCAATGTGGTCACTCTTGACCTAACTTGGTGAAAATATATCATGTGTTTGCATCCAAATGCTCTCAAATTGAACTCCCATCAAGTTACTAGTCTCGACACCCCTTAATAATACAACCAAAAATAAAAACAAACACCTAAACACTACGTTAACTACCTCCAAACACCAACTTTGCACATGAACCCTATAGTGTTCTTAATCTTCGTGAACATCCTTGTGTCCATACTTAAAATCAAAAGAACATCCATGTGACCTCAATGTGACTGATTCTATGATGTCCATATATATGCTTAAACTTGTCATATGGATGAATTGAATACAAAATTTGACATGTTTGTGAAATTTACAACTGAATGAGTGCTGGCATAGCACGTCTAAGGGGTATAAGCCTACAAGGGTCGTGCCTGCGCCTTACCATTGGTACAATAGGCGGCACGACATGGCACATATAGCTAGTCGTTCCTATCGTGCCCATGCCTAGGCATGCTCTGCGCAGGCATGTTCGTGGCATGTAATGTCGTGCAGTCCGTTTGGGCATCTGTATGGAGCACTGACCTAACACTCTTTTCTCATACTATTTTGATCTTTTATCAGACTATTTTGATTTTTATTCTAAAAAATAGGGCTTTTAAATCACTTATGAAACCTGAACCAATAGCAGAGAATCTCCTCCTAGATATTCAGCTTGTTCGTTTTGGCTGGATTGCTCGTATTTGGCTTATAATCCATGGCTTGAACAATATTTTTCTCAACCAGCAGTACTTTCAGCCATGGCTTATAAGCCAATCCAGCCGAAACGAACAGGCTAATTTATCATACAACAGGAACATAGACAGGCATTCAGAGTCTCAAGAGCTGTCAAATCCAAATCTCAGTAAACATTATCACTAGCCATCAAATATAATAAGATGGGAAACAGAGAGTCCACCCCTAGGGTTTAAGGGAGGCACAACGGATATCAATTGCCATCAAATCGACATCTTAATAAACATTATCATCATCATTACGCATATTATTTCCCCTATATATCAAGAGCCATCAAATCACCTGCCTCTCTTTTTCACTATCTGGCCCAATATTATTTCCCCTACATATACTCCTCAACTACCAGAGAACAACCGCCTTCACGTCACACAACAAGCCAAGACAACTTTCCCATTTGTCCATCCTTTAGGCTCTACCAACAACAGCAAGAAAACCAAAACATCGCCGTCGCCTCCAAAATAAACAATGAATGAAGGGAGGAGCATCAAGCACACACCAATAGTGACACAAAGGCCCTACATGATTGAACAGAAACTTGATGCCTGCCTGCCTCCTTTCCTTCTGGCCCTACCACTATGTCATATGCCACAACCACCTTCTCTCTTCTAGAGCTATAGAGCTAGAAGCATTGGTACAGGTCTATGGGCTGCTGCTGGTTCCATGCGCTGGCACCAAGAATATCAGAGTCGCTGCTCCATGTTGTGAAGCTGTTCACCATGGCTGGATTTGTAGGACCAGTGCTGGTGCTGGTGCTTGAGTTCATGTACCAGAGGATATCTGTCAGGGCACCCAGCCTGCTGTCCAGCTCCATCTTCTGGGTCTGCAGAACAGAGTTTTGTGCTTGCACTGCCACAAGGTTCTGGCTGGTTATGCTCAGTGCCATGCTCAGCTGCTTGTTCTGGTCCTTCAGCTGATTTACCTGTTTTAGGCCACAATATTATACACCCTTCAGAGATCTGAATTCAATCCTAGCTTGTTTCTGCTATGTTTAGGTAATTTTGTGAAAAATAAATAATCAACGATAGTAGTAGTAGGTGATGATGGTAGACTTATATATTTTTAGCTTTGATCAGTAAATTAGCTAGGAAGAAATTGATGATTAGTGTGGCCTTTGTGAAAAGGGGGAACGCAATTATTGAGCTTGTTTGGGTAGATATTTCAAGTGGGCCTTTGTTGTCACCTGTTTTACTTTTTCACCTGCATATCAGTGCAAGTCTACATGAATAAAAAGTAAAGTAATTGCAAATATTGAACAAACTAATTTAGATCTATGCTTGCATCATGAATTATAATAGAGTTATGCTAGGAGATAAATAACACACACATATATATACCTGTGAGGTGAGGTCGTCAAGGTGTTGTTGCTTCCTTAGCCTAGACCTCCGAGCTGACTCCCTGTTCGACTCCTTCCTTCGCTTCCTCCTCTTCTCCATCTGGGCCTGGAGATCCAGGTCATCCTCCGACCTAGAACTCTGGGTCCCCTGGCTTGACCCGGACGAAGTCCCACTTGACATAGTCACCTCTTGGAAATTGAGGTGTAATCTAAACTTTTTCACTCCCTCTTTTTTGGTCAGGTATAGGTACCTCTTTGTTACTACCTTAGTATAATTTTTATATGTGGTAAATATAGACAACACCTAGTTAACTTGAAAAGGTGAGATTAACTACTGGCAGCTAACTGAGAAGACATAAAACCAGTAGAGAAAAACAACAGAGAAGGACTGGACAAGGCGGGTTATGGCGGAACCGATCATAAATCCGGAAAGGAGGTGCTCGGACAGGACGAGCAACAACATCTAAAACAGATGCTGCGGCCTCTCTACTAGCTTATCATCAAGGACAAGGAGGCGAGTACTCTTGTTTAGTTACCTTGGAAATTAGAATTTATTGTATATATCTATGATGTGTGTGAAGAAACTTTTGGCAGGGCTTGGCCTTGGAGAAGTGATAGTGAAAGAAGAAAATTTTAGCAGAACCTCCCCTTGGAAGACTGAAGGTCAGTGCACAAAATTTTGGCAGAATCTCCCCCTGGAAAACTGATGGTCACAGGTGGAAATTTTGGCAGAACCTCCCTTGGGAAACTTATGTTCACAGGAGCAAATTTTGGCAGAACCTCCCCCTGAAAATGGATGTTCTGAAGCCAAATTTTTGGCAGAACCTCCCCCTTAAAGTGGATGTTCAGAAGCTGAAATTTTGGCAGAACCTCTCCTTGGAAACTCCAAGTTTCAGCGACAGAAGGTTGGAGCTCCGGTTATTGCTAGTAGCAGATCAACAGACTGAAGGCGTGTCAGTAACAAATTGTGCTGTTACTGAAGAGACTAGGAGAGAGTGAGAGGGATGAGGGCCTGAAGGGCAGAATGTGGTTCAGGAAGGTAACCTAGCAAGGGAGCTCGGGAAGAGGGGAAAAGGGAATTGAAGCATGGAGGAGGGGGCCATTTATAGCCGAAAAATAGGTGGTTTTAGAGTGAGAAAAAAATTGCCAAATTGAATAATTCTTGGTGGAGGAGAAAAGGAGAGGGAAAAGCAAAGTTTGTGTGTGTAGAGAGAGAGAGAGAGAGAGAGAGGAAGGAGAGGGAGAGGTGTTTAGAATCTTCTGCGGCATCTGCCTCTGCCCGTGTCCTGGCAAGTGGAAACAATAAAAATTGTGGGCTGATATTCGTTGTCACTTCTTTGATTGATTGCTTGCGACGTCTGTGGATGGTTTCAGAATAGCCCTGCCCTGCCCTGCCCATGGACTAGTACTTCCTCCGTTTGGTTTTACTTGTCAGCAACTTTTTACTGTAGCAAATTTGATCATCTATTTTTTCTTCTAAAAAAATCTTAGATACTTCAATGTATATAACACTAATGAAGTATGTTCAATAAAGAATTATATATGTGAAAACTTGATGTATCTAAAAATCTTTTGCAGAAAAAAACGTATGGTCAAAATTGTTACAGTAAAAATTCGGTGACAAGTAAACAAAAACGGAGGTAGTACTTATTCTCTGAGGTGAGCAGCGCGATCCAAAAATAAATGATTAAGGCCCGTTCAGCCGGTAGAATCTTGACTGAAATTGGCTGATTGTGTGAGAGAGAAACACTGTTGGCTGGATGGATGAACAGTGTCGCGTGAGGAGAACCAGCCAGCCGGCTAGTCTCCTTCAGACCAACGAACACCGCCTAATTGAGAGGGTTCATCTTGACTCTTCAGCAGCAGGAGTATGGAATACTACCTCCTATAGTCCTATTCCTATCTAAAAGATAGTCATCATCAAGTGTGAACAATGAGAAAACAAGCCTCCTTGCTCTATTTCATCGTCCTGTTCGTTTAGGCTGGTTTGGCTTATAAGCCATGGCTGAAAATGCTATTGGCTGGTTTGGTGTGAGAGAAAAATATTGTTCGTTGGCTGATAAGTCATGGCTTATAAGCCAAATACGACCAAGCGATATTCCGATTCCGAGAAAGAAACGTGTGTTGGCAGGACTCATTAGTGGGATATAGGATCACTAATTACAATTAGTGAGCTGAACCTGATCATCAGCAAGAAAAACTATGATCGTTCTCTATCCCCTTTTGATCGCGTGCGTGTGTGGTTTACGCACGCGAAATTCTTTTGAATATGGTTTTCTTTTTCCAGTTTGCAGCAGGGGCAGGTTTGTGCATTGTTTGTTCCTATCCTACCTCTGCACTGCACAGCTGTTGCCTGTTTGGTCTTGCCTGCTTCTGAGCACAGGAGTACATGGACGACATCTATCAGCAAATAGTAGATGACAAGCCTATTAGCAGTTAACCAGACTGGAGAAATCGTGAAGATGGTAGTTCAGGAGCGCGCAAGAAGAAAGTAGGAAAACACTAGTCACTGAGAAAAGCTGATAACGATTGAGGTGCCACCTGTTGTACCATGCAACGAGCTGTCCTAACAGCTGGTTATAAATCTAGCTTTCATTTGGTGATGAGCGCTTTTTTGATATATACTCCTATTCAGAATCATATAATTGGTGTTGGGGGTTGCTGCTATCACGTCCTTGTTGTCGGAAAATAGTAGTATTTCGCAGAGTAGTTTGATGGAAATGCACAAAGAACGTAATTAGCAGAGCATCTTCTTGAAGTAATGACTAGTGAAAAGTGGGTCTGATCTGTCAACTTTGTTGGCACTTGCTGAATTGACCTGGTGCCACGCACCCATCAATTATTGAGTAGACAACAACAGCAGCATGATGGCGTGTACTTTCAACTGGAATTGATCGAAGTAAGAATTCAGGAGAACTTTCGGTGAATAATCACTGGACTTGCTCAACTTGAGCAAAACACCCTCCTATCATCGTACGCGACATAGTACTGAAGTTACGCTTATGCAGATAGCTGCTCTCTGAACTGATCGAAGCCAGTTCAGTCTAGGACGATGCAAGCACCGTTCTCTCGTTTCAGCTGCTACTTCCAAAGCATTTCATTCTGAAAAAAAAAACTATGGTTGGATGCCAATAAAAGTTTGGCCAAACTTGGGACCTGTCTAGAAGGACCGTCAATAAAAACTTTGTCCTCGTCCTGATCGCGCACGCATTTCAATTTTCAAGCACGATAGGCAGTCATCCCTAGTCACATAGGACTAGGAGTATTTGTGATGGTATCTGTTTCTCAAAAAAAAAAAAAAAGGTGATGGTATCTGCCTACTGTGCAGCATGCATTGCATGCATGTAACTGATTGCCTTTTAGCAGCTGAACTACTATTTCACTATTTCAGTCAAATTTCGAGCCTGCCTGAACTGAACCGGCCGGACGGTCACCAAAAGCCTTGAAACATGTCAACTGCCAAAAGGATAGTTCAAGACTAAATGTCAATGAGTCAAAAATAATTGTGGCACCCGGTTTTAAGAACAAAACCAGATACACACCATATGTGAGTTCAGAAAGTCAAATCTCACATATAGGCCCTGTTTGTATCCATGGGTTAGAGCTAGTTTGGGCTAGTTGGAGCTCAAATAGCCCTAAAGTAGCCAAACAGAAGGGCTAGAGTGGGTTATTTATAACTAGCCCACCCTAAAAAACTATCCCCCCAAAGAGGTGATTATTTGGGATAGTTGGGGCTATTTGAGGTGGGGTCCACTGTTTTCTCTCTACTTTCACCCGCACCAATGATTTGGAAAGCACATTTATTATCATTTTAACCTTTGTATCCAAACATCTCTTAGGATAGAGTTAGTTCAGGACTAGTCCTGAGCTACAAACTAACTCTAACCTCTAGCTGTGCTAGAGTATCCAAACAGGGCCATAGTTATAAATAAGGGTAATATCAAAAGACAATGCTTAAATACATAGCGTATTAGTATAAAGATTATAACATCAGAGTATAGACAGTGGAAAGATAATTCCGATCTTCAGGCGAAGACTCCAAATCCACAAGGGCAACTGACTGGTTGACCAAAAGCCTAATTCCTCCAGACTCTACCAATCTGGTACCCATCTAGGATTTTTATCCAAACATGTGAAAAATAAAGCAAGCATAAGTACATGTCGTACTCAACAAATATAACATGGGATTCATGAGGCTCAAAAGGCTGACACTAGTTTAACTGCGATTAGCTTTTAATGAGTCATGATTTTAGCAATTGAGTAGTAACGAGTTTATCATAAGCCCATATAAACACACGATTAGGTAAACATAAATAATGGATAGCATAAATAGTAATCATTAGTTAGCATCTTTATCATTAGTGTCCATCATCTATTCCGTAAATGTTCCAAGGCCGCTTGAGACCATGAGCATGGCTGATATACCAGTTTTACACTCTGCAGAGGTTGTACACTTTCACTGTGAGTCGTGATTTACCCTTTCACCCAAGGTAGCTAATCTCTTGACCAACTTTCAAGGAAGGTCGACATGGTTCACTATAAAGCCTTTCAAAGGTTCGTCTAACAAGTTAGAGCCGCTAGGTTTCTGTGGCCTGTGAATGTAGAGCTCCTCTTTCGACAGGCACAATAACGCGTAGCCTATACACTGACGGACAGAGGCCGCACTATATCCAACCCTGAACACACTCCTCTTGCGCCATAAAGGTAACCACTAACAAGCTAGAAAAGGTCCTCATACTAAACTAAAGCCAGAGCCATGTAGCCCTCACAGCTGTACTGTAAGTCCCGGATGGTCACTTACAGATAAGTCCTTAGGGAGAGGAATCTAGAGCACCATAAAAACAGCCCAATGCTCTAGCCCCCTTGTTTCATGTTGCTAAAAAGCATCTTTTAGTGTTTATTGCATATACCATTAGTCAAGTTACAAGATCATGGCTTTAATTGAGCACTAGCATCATACTACCCAATGCAATACCCTATAGATATCAAGGCACAAGGTACAAAGTACTAGGAAATTCTTAGTAGTAGTCAAGGTAGACACATGCAGCATGAATTAAAAGATTAAAGGTGTATAAGACAACAAGGATGATCACATGCTATACTTGCCTTAAACTCTCATCCTTCTTCAAGTCCAAAACTTCAAAGGAACTCCTTCTTGATCAACACGTAAAGCTCACCGAC